ATCAAACAAAGCAAGAACTAAATGTATAAAAAGAATAAAATTGTATGATGAAAAAAAAAATGAAAGAAAGAATAAAAAAGGCTACCTTCCTAGCTTTCACCAAATTTTTTTTTATATTCTTTCTTTCGTCATTAAGGCGCCATCACTTTTTTTCATAGCTAAGAGAAAATAATCCATTCATTAGCCTTAAAGTTTTCTTTTAAAAAAATCTTCCTCATTTTCTAGTGATTAGATCAATGTTCATCTAAGGGAATATTTGTTTGGCATTTTTCTTCAAAACTTAATGAAACAGGTTTTGAATATTGGCCATTGGATTAAGGTACTTAACTAAGGGTTGAAAATACTCCATACATTTTCTATTGTCTTTATGCTCTTTTTTTTTTAGCACTTAGATTAACATCTATCAAAAGAATAGATTGATTTGTCTTCATACGCAAAACATGGTAAGTAAGACTATGGATGTAGACCCTTACATAAATGTTCCTTTAATCTAATGACCTAAATCATGCCTTACGTTTTCTTTGTCCTTATGTGGGACCATCCAATTTTACCATGTGAAAAGACAATTTTACCTCTCTTAAGTAATTTAGGCCATTTCACTTTTCATTTTTTAATTTCTTGATCCCATGCTGATCTCATGACTTTATTATACCGAGAAATGATAATAAGAGTCTCTAAACCTAAATTTGCACCCATGTGCAAAATCCAACCTTGTTCCAACCATGTTTACAACAACGTCCTTAAAGTTCGTTTCTGGATTTTTAAGGTGCCTTTGGAGTTAAACTTTGATTTTTGAGATCTTAAATCACATTTCTATTAATTTTAAGCCTTTATAGTTCCTAGGTTTGACCAAGTTGACTTGAGTTTGACCAATTTTGACTCAAGTTTGATTAAGAGGCATTTTGGTCAAAATGCAAAATTTGTCCAAATTTAAAAATTCTCATTTAAGCTCATTAAAAGTTCTATCGTTTAACTCGATTTAATCAAAATTATCTGAGTTTGACCCGGATTAACTAAAAGGTATTTTGGTCAAAATCTAAGTTAAATCAAATATAAAAGTTTAAATCCTTCAAATCCTTCATTTTGACTAAGTTTGTTTGTTTTGCTCGAATTTAACTTCTTTAGCTCAAGTTTGACCAAAATTTTGACTAGGTGTTTTTCAAAATCTTTTTGTAAATATTATCCAATGGCTTTAGTTTCAAACGATTTCAAAACTTTCCTGTTGGTCATTGGTCTTAAAATTTTAAGCATGAGTAAGTCAGACTAAGTTGATTTTTAACCTTTTCCTTAACTCTTACTTTTTTTTTTCATCAAACCTAATAATCAACTTATTCCAAAAACTTAAAATACTTATAAAATATAAAACTTCTTGAAAAGACCTGAATCTTGATTTTAAAATAAACAAAATTAGGTATTTAGAATTTCTCTCCAAACTTTAGTTTTTTTTTTTCTTTCCTATTGAGTGGCATTTCCCCAAGGTAAGGAATAAGGATCGGTCCACTTCACTTCCTCTTTAACTCTCATTTGTTCCACTTATAGCTAACTTTAGCTATGGGTTGAGACTTCACTTCCTAATTTAATTTGTCATCGCCTTATGGATTAGCATATCAATTCTTTCGAAAGCCCAATCTCTCAGTCGAGATGGTTCCACCCACTTTCAACGATGTATCGATGCGTATATATGCAGGCTAAGTATTTAGAAACAAAGAACAAATGATTATACATTCTTTTATTTAGCGGTAACGGGATTTTGGATTTTGTTTAGTATATTTTTTTTCAATCAGTTCAAATAAGTTTATTTACGTCGAATCTACCAAATTCATCGAAAATTACCTTTTTACAGCCTTCCAATAAATTTGAACTTAAACAACAAATAGATGAGCATATTTTGTTTGCTACTTGAACCAACCATCTAGTGATAATGAATGATTATATATAGTGTCATTTTTTCTTACTATGGAAAGAGCATTGTAATTAGCACACACACACACATATGGAAAAGGATAAACTTATATAGAAAAAAACTTTTTTAATTTTACATATTATTTTAATATTTAATATTAATAGATTTAAGAGATGGGAGAGGCAAGTAAAAAAAAAAATAGTTTAATCTTATCTCTTGGATTAATTGAAATCAATGATTAAAAAAAATGTAAAACTAAAAAATTTATACTATATAAGTTTATCCTTGTTATATATATATATATATATATTAGATTTTGTGTGTTGCATGTAATTTGATATGTTAATTGCATTGACGTGCAAATATTGAAGATGTTAAAATTTATTATTTATAAAAAATTACCAAAAATTGAAAAACAAAAAAACACATAAATATTATTTTAATTTGTATAATAAATATTAAAAATTATATTATGCATAAACAAATTTATTAAATAAACGAGTTAGAAAGACTGAACAAATAGTAAAAAATTAAAATTTTAATTAATACAAATGAAAGTGGATAAAATTGTAAAATTGTTGTGAAACAAACCAATATTTCAATAAATAAAAATTAATTGATATTTTAATTACTCATAAACTCTACAGGCACATAGCGTGTGACAAATCTAGCTTATGTATGTAATATATATATATATATATATAGTTATTTATTTATTTATATTTATATTTATATTTATATTTATATTTGTAAAAGCACAAACTTGGCTGAGGTCATGGGACAAAGCCCAGCAGTTCATGGCAATACAATTGTGGTTTGGCAGAGGAATATGCATTGCTTGTATTTATACTTGAAATCATATATATATATATATATATATATTATAACATACATAATTATCATATAATAATTATTAACATAGATGCTTACATAAATAGCTTTTTTATTTGACACATAAAATAATTTTTAAAACTTCTAATATGATAATCCATAAGATATTTATTAATTTTAAATTATTTATAAAAATATATTTTAAAAATTATTAAATTATCTAAAATTTTAAAATTTAATTAAAAACCAATTTAAATTTTGATGAAATTTTTTTCGTATACCTCACCTCATCTCAATTGAAAATCAATTTTAAAATAATTTATTTTTTTTAATTTATGTGGAGTTAACATGAGTATTTAAATTTATTATAATTTTTAAAAATATTATTTAATATCTTTAATTTTTTTTTATAAATAATCATTATATTATCTTCAATTTTTAAGTATATTTTACAAAGAAAATATGAAAAAAAAATATAAATACCAGAACAACTTCAAAAAAACCTTCATTATTGGTAGTTCTTAGTTATATAGTTTTCTAAATGTTCCATTGGGCTAAACGAATTTTTTTTACTATTAATTTAGTCTCTTTTTTTATAAGTTTATTCTTGTTATAAGAATTAACATACTTTTTTTTATGATAAGTACTATTTTACTAAATATACTATTCACTCCATCATGTAGGCTTTTTTTTTTTAAATGAGTTGTAATATTTTTTTAAAAAAATTATAAAAACACATATATTCTTATATTTTTATCTGTGTTGTTTGTAATCCTTTTATTTTTTCACGGATTCTTTACCCAATCAAGTAATATATTTTATCTTTTAACTGATTATTTATTCAATATTTTTTATTTGTATAAAATAAAAATTATGCTTTGATTAATTGATATAATAAAATTATGTGCCATAAACAGAACTTATATGCTAGTTGTACATTTAAAGAGTGAATAATTTTTTAAGTCATATCTCCATTGTGAAATATGTAACATAATTTAAAATTAAGAGATTATTTTTAAAAAAATTAAAATTAAAAAAATAATTCAGAGATAGTTTCATCAATAATATTAATTTTAAGTTCATTTATATCTTAGCTTAAAAAAGTCTTCGAATCATAAAAGATTTCAACAAAATTCCTAAAAAAAAAGATATAAATCTTATGATGACTCTATAATTATGAAACAAAAGATTCTTTATAGTCTTTAGCAGAATTAAATAAAAAAAATTTATTTTTATTATGGTTTGATATTTTAATTATATTATTTATATGTTATATATATTTTGAATATATAAATAATTTAATAATATTAATTTTTATTTTTATTTAAATTTAAATAAAATAAAAATAATTCGTGCACGAGTAGCAAGATAGTGAAGTGTATATGTATATATATTATTTATGAAAATACAGTTCTGCCTGCGTAGTGCTTACGGTTTTCTTAAACGGAAGGGTTATATTATAGTAAAACATATGGGTTAAAAGATTTCAAGCATGTTGGGCTATTTTTTAGCAAAAATAATTAAAAAAACAAAACTGTTAACTGGATTGGACTGGAACAACCTTCAAGTCCATAGTAACGAACAGATTCGATCCAAATTACAGTGGATAAATGTATCTTTCATCTTTTTAGCCTATTCCTTGGTGCTACAAAGCCCACATTTCCCATCAAATTCTTGTTTATCAGCTGGCGCAAACTTATATATATATATATATATATTATCGAAATTGAATTTTGATAGTTAGAATTAAAATTTTAATATTTTATTAATAGATTACAATAATGTAAATTAAATAAATTTATATTTCTTTACAATTGGATTTTCATAAACAAATGTATTTTATTGTTCCACATTTTTAAAGGCTTTTCAGCTATGTTTTGGTAGGTCAGCATCAAAATTGGATCAGTGATTGAAGTGAGTCACTTGCTAACCAGAAACGAGCTTACTGTAAAAAATTTTGGGTTTGCTTTTTTTTTTTTTTTTTCTAAATAGAAATATTTCAACTATCTATGCACAACTTATTTTATATGGTTTTTCAGATTTATGATAAAATGCAAAATTTATAATCATTAATTTTTATTACAACTAGAATAATATGCACCAATCCTTGTGAATAGTAATAAACCTGAAATATAGAAACTCATGAAAGTGATGTATAATCGAAATATAGGAACATATATCTGAGAAAAGATGTCCAAATTACCCTTTTTTTATCAACAAAATTACAAGTAAAAACAGTTATCACCCATTTATATCTATGGCAAAAAAAAAGAAAAGAAAGGCTTTACATGTATGAAATTGTCAAAATGGGACAAAATTTCAGATTAAATGAAAAAAAATAGATGAAGCATTAAACGAAGAAAAAAAATTACACTATAAAAACCCTAAACCTCCATGCCTGAAAAGAACGCTAAAAAAAGAACAAATAATCCCTTGTATTCTATGCTATGCACTGTCTTTTCTACTCTCCGCCGTTACTCTTCTTCTTTTCAGCCAGTTTTCTTCCTCGTCTCTAAACCTTCGTCCTCTCCACTCCGCCTCTTATCCGCCTTGACCATGGCTTCTTGTCATCCCAAGGACGAACCCTATCTCAACCAAGTCATCGAGAAGCGCATCAAAATCTTCCAATCCCTCCAGTCTCAACAGCAATCTCATCTTCAGTCCCTCCCGCACGACCCAATCAAGATCACTTTGCCTGATGGATCAATTAAGGAAGGGAAAAAATGGGTTTCGTCCCCTATGGATATTGCCCAAGGAATTTCCAAGAGTTTGGCTGCCAATGCCTTGATTTCTTCGGTCAATGGGGTTTTGTGGGATATGAATAGGCCTTTGGAAGATGACTGTGAGCTTAAGATTTTCACTTTTGATAGCGATGAAGGTCGTGATACTTTTTGGCACTCTAGCGCTCACATTCTTGGTCAGGTGAAATGGGGAATTTTTTTATCCTCTTGTTTTCATTGCATTTCTTCTGTTTTTTTTTTTTTTTTTTTTTTTGTGTTCCTTGGGGGGATAATTGGCTTATTTGGGTTGGTGGTTATGCAGTCTCTCGAGAGCATATATGGTTGCAAACTTTGCATTGGACCTTGTACCACAAGAGGGGAGGTAAGTTAGTTACTTGGGTCTTTGTTATATGGAAAATGCGTCGTTGTACATATCCTTGTCTCTTAGAATTATATGATATTTATAAAATTTGCAATTAACCAATTACATTTTTCGGTGTAGGATATTTTAGTATGATTTTCTAAATGAGTTTCTGTGTATTTGTATGTAAGTTTTAGAGAATTACTGAAGAATTTCAATGATATTTCATATAGTTTTCAGTAGCAATCAAGTTTTTCTGTTGTAGGATTTAGGGACGAAGTATTATCCATTGTGACCATTAAAATTACTGTGCTTATTAGCTTGTACTTTCTGTATAAGGTTTATGGTTTTAACTTAACCAAGGCCTTTGGAGATAATATTATTGTTCTAATTCCTATTTGATGTTTCGTTCTTTTCATCTTGATGCTTAAGTTGGTTTACCAAGGTTTTTTTTAGTGTGAATTTACCTTCTTACAAGATGGTAATGTGGTGTTACAGGGTTTCTATTATGATGCATTTTATGCTGACTTGGGCTTGAATGAGGACCACTTCAAGCAAATTGAAGCAGGGGCATTGAAAGCTGTTGCTGTATTGTTAATCTTCCTAAATGAGCAATTTCATACTTCTGATTGTTTTTATTTATGATCACCTTCCACCAGTGTCCATGTTCATTTGGTGTTTATACAGTACTTTATGTTCCATGTTTAACAGCTTTATGTTGAGTTAGTGCATATTGTAACACCGTTAATTAGTCAGGTCATACCTATGTCAAGGAAATATTGGAAGTTTTAAAATCATATTATGAAATGTTGAAAAGTGGTTAATTTTTTTATCTTATATTTTTTATGCTGCTATTAATTGGGAATTATGTTAATGGTAAAGCTGTTATTTCATGGTAGATTTGTTTTTTCTCTTATTGGCATCTTAATGCAGGAAAAACAACCTTTTGAGCGTATTGAAGTGACAAGGGAACAGGCCATTGAGATTTTTTCTGAAAATAATTTTAAGGCAAGTTGAGTGATGTTATTTTTAATTTTCAATATCAATTGAAATGATTCTTTTCTGCCTATATGTTTTCCTATTGCAGTAATTTCTGCATTGGTAATTTTTATAATCAGGTTGAGATCATCAATGATTTGCCTGTAGACAAAACCATCACAGTATACAGATGTGGCCCCCTGGTTGATCTGTGTCGTGGGCCTCATATTCCCAATACATCCTTTGTGAAGGCATTTGCTTGTTTGAAGGTGACATGTTTCATGATATATCAAAGCTATGTTTAGGAGACATGCAGATTCCTGTTCACCACCATTTCCTGCTTTACTCATGAATTTCTATCTTCAGGCCTCATCAGCTTACTGGAGGGGGAACAAAGATCGTGAGAGTTTACAAAGAGTTTATGGTATATCTTATCCTGACCAGAAACGTTTGAAGGTGAAATGATTTTTTCTCCTTTGTTTTGATTCTGGCTGTCAGCTGTATTCTTGTACTACTTGCGCTGATTTTTCAATATTAGTTTGGTTTTGAATTTGATTATTTGTGATTGTTGAAGCAACAACATATGACTTTGATCGATAGAGAAATATATTTATCTCTTTTATTATGATGCAAAGAATATCAATATCTGATATGATAGCAGAAATTACTTTATGTAGTCCTTATTCTAGGTTCTCTTTTACATACCTAGACACAAATGAGAGAGTGCTGATTCATCTCACATTTTTTGCTTCTCATGAATGTGAATATTTTGTGCACAGGAATATATTCATCAGCTTGAAGAAGCTAAGAAATATGACCATAGATTGTTGGGTACAAAGCAGGAACTTTTCTTTTGTCACCCCCTCAGGTACAGCATAACTTAATATACTTGGCAATTGCGTGTTCAAGAAAATCTGCGATATTAAAATCTGGCATCTTTGGTAACTTTCAGCCCAGGAAGTTGGTTCTTTCTTCCTTATGGAACTCGAATTTACAACAAACTAATGGAATTTATACGAAATGAATATTGGAAAAGGGGTTACCAAGAGGTTACAAGTCTTCACTCCCTTTTAGATATTTAATTAAAGCTATATAACCCCAATAATGAGTCAATAAAGTTGCATAATTTTGGCAGGTTAAGTCACCAAACATGTATAATATGAATCTTTGGGAAACATCTGGTCATGCTGCAAATTATAAGGAGAATATGTTTTTGTTTGAGGTGAGATTTGTGCAACTACAGAAAAAAATAACTTGTTTGTTTTGTTTTAATTCTAGAGTGTATCTTTATGTGAATTTCGTAGAAATTTAATATGATCTGTGCTACAAAGGATATTTTTTGCATTTAGTCCTCCTATGAAGTTCCCTTTTTATGATGTGTGGTTTCTGCCACAGATTGAAAAACAAGAGTTTGGACTGAAACCTATGAATTGCCCAGGCCACTGTTTAATGTTTCAGCATAGAGTTCGTTCTTATAGAGGTCAGTTCATGTGCATCTATGTTCTCCTAATTCTTTTCACCATTTGGCAACAAAACGTTGGTACTGCCTGTGAAGCATCTTTTCCCTGCTTTTTTTTAAATTTTTTTCTCTTTAATACGTGAACAAACAAAATCACTTCAGAGATAGCAGAAAAGGGGGGGGGGGGGGTGCCAACTAATGTACAAGACTATTGCATCCTGTCTGTCTTGACAGTTCCCTCATAGACTGCATCATAACTTCACTGTTCCTTGAGGAGATCTTAAAAGAAGCTCTTCTAGGCTATGCTTCTTTGTTTACCTCATCATTTGGTTGCTTTAAACATGGGCTTCCCATCTTTATTGGTGCTTACTTTATGAGTTTATTCCAGGTATGAGTTTTGGATGTTGGACCAACATTTCTTTACTACCTTTTCTTTCATACTTTATAAGAATGAGTTGACATAATAATATCAGTGAATGAGTTAGTGCTAATTATTAATTTTCTGAAATGTTATTGGCTTGAATACATTTTAATGTGTTACATTCTACATCTTTTGCCTTGTCGTGGTTCTTTTGAGCTCTGATGTAATAGGTATGTGGCTCAATCATAACTAAGATTTAGTGTGGCTCAATCATAACTAAGATTTAGAGTTTAGTTAATATAGTTTATTTGTTCTTTCTTGTTTAGCCCCAAGAATGTGCTTATTTATTAAAATGTCTTCTTCTGAAAGATGTTTTTGACGTCATGTGATTGTCAGTTGTGGTTAATGCCAATTAAGCTGATTCATTTTGTCATCTCTGGCTTCTTTGCAATTTTCTCATACTGATTAACGCAGAACTGCCTCTTCGCCTGGCTGATTTTGGGGTCTTGCATCGTAACGAGGCTAGTGGGGCGCTGACTGGGTTAACTCGTGTTAGGAGGTTTCAGCAGGTACCCTGTTGTTAGATGTAAACTTTTGAGATTGTGCTCCTTGATAGCTCTCTGTACCTTTTGTTTTGGCAAAACATCATATGTCAATTTTGGTCTACCATAATTTATTGCTGTGTGAAAACTTGTTAGATTTTGGACTCAAGTTTAAAGAAGTCTCTATTCAGATGTTATATATTTTGGTTACTTGGTCGTGCTAGTTAAAAATCTCTCTTTGGCTTCCTCATGAGCCTTTTTTGTGAAAGGTGGATCATCTTCTTTCCCCTGGTTCTTTGACATTACTCTTCATATTGTTTCAGGATGATGCCCACATTTTCTGCAGGGAATCCCAGGTGAGGTTGGCTTTAAGTTGTTAATTTATGCTATGATTGGAAAGATGAGTTTGAGAGAGTGGATTTGGATTTCATTTGCTATATAAATTTGAGAGTGAAATGCACACAATATGCATAAATTAGTTAAGATTCAATATGGTTATATATTTGAAAGGTATACAAATATGAATTTCAAATTCACCACTAATTAGGCATCCAACAAATCCGTGAATTTGAAAAAAACAATCATGAAGGTTATATTTACATGTGCTTTGTCACTCAATTTACACTAATTTTGAAATCCTAATCCCTTCTTTCAAATCCAAGTTATCAAATGCAACCTTACAGAATTGTGAAATATTTTAGCTCCCCTATTTCCTTTATAATGCATGTTTTACCTTTTTTTCAGATAAAAGAAGAAGTCAAAGGTGTCCTGGAGTTCATTGATTATGCTTACACTGTGTTTGGGTTTACGTATGAGCTAAAACTATCTACGGTATGATAAACTCATTAACTTAAATGTTTGGGGATTGGCAGTAGTTTTCTCTGTGATAGTTAAGTGCATTATATTTGTTGATTTTGAAGTGTAATGAAGTGAGTTTAGGATGTTGATGTGATTGTTTTCTATCTATATCTTGAGATGCTATATGTATACAACCACTTAGAGTATCCTGAAATTTTAATGGTCTTCCTTTAACATTAGGAGCAAGTATTTTTATATTTGTTGGTAAAAATGGTTTTGGAATAGAGACCTAATATTTCTACTTGCATCATAATTATATTCTTCATGTTTTAACATTAGATGGATGTTAAGACTCATGATTTATGTTTGTACTCATGCTTGGATTTTATTTGAGAATGACAATATTTATTTAGTGTGTTATAAATATTTGAATTGTAGAGGCCAGAAAAATACCTTGGAGATTTGGCAACTTGGGAGAGAGCTGAAGCTGCTCTTACAGAAGCCTTGAACCTGTCTGGGAAGCCATGGCAGGTCAGTTTTCTGTTTAACACCTTACAGTCGACATTTGGAGTTCTTCACAACAGAGATTGTTTTGTAATTAATTGTCTGTGGATAACAAATGAGAAAATTTTGCTTCAGCTTAAGCCACCCTTAAGCATCCAGCATATATATTGGTACTTTGGAATGTGGTATGACTATAGCAACATAAATGCACATAGAACTTTGGCAAATTTTTGGCCTGAATGAGTTATTGATAAGTGAAATATTAGTTCAAGCTTGACATTATATGGGATTTGAAAATTTGACCAGCTACTTAGGTTGATTGTTTGTAAGCCAGAAAAATGGTGAGTACATCAACTGAGTTTGATGTGCTGCTCGAGATTTATTGTGTTTGGCACCTTTTGACAAGCACAGCTGGTGTCATGATTTCACTCCATTTTTCTATTTGAAGAATATGTTTTCAACTTATTTTTCTCAAATGAGAAGTCGATTTAAATATTGTAACTATAAAATTTTATGTTCTGAAAATTTTGAAGTGCTCTAATTGATGTAGATTGATTCATCTATTAAAAAGTAGAATTCTTTATTGCTAAGAGAAGGCAAACTCTTGCATGGTTGGCTTGCATGTTCTGATCTATTTGTTGTGCTTTATTTTCTCTATTTTATATTTGAGGATTTTTCTATGTAGCCACCCATTTCACCCTTCTTTCTAAATGCTTATACCCAAGAGTCATGTTACAGATAAATGAAGGAGATGGGGCTTTTTATGGTCCAAAGATAGATATTAGTGTATCTGATGCATTGAATAGGAAATTTCAATGTGCAACATTACAGGTTTGTGATGTTCAATTGTATGTTCAATTGTGCTTCGTTTTCTCCTTTGTCTCTACTCTCTAATTTGTCGTAGTTTTATTATAATTATACTTGTTAGCTGGTGCCCTTTATTGCAGCTTGACTTCCAGCTTCCTGAGCGCTTCAAGTTGGAGTACTCAGCGGAGGATGAAGCCAAGAGGGAGAAACCTGTTATGATACACAGAGCTATCCTGGGGTCTGTTGAGCGTATGTTTGCTATATTATTGGAGCACTACAAGGGCAAATGGCCCTTCTGGCTTAGTCCCCGTCAAGCAATTGTTTGCCCTGTGTCCGAAAAGTCTGAGAATTATGCGATAGAGGTAGTCTACTCTAGCAGTATGCTCTTTAATTTGTTTTCTTCAATTATGTCTATTTTTTCATATTTCACTGTCAACCATATGAAGTTTATGGTGCATCTGCACATAATATTTGTGTATGATATCCAGACTTCACTGGATTTTCCTCTGTGCATTCTGGCATGATATTCCCCCATGTTGGACCAGAATTTTGTTTCCTGTGTGTTTGCATGCTACTTGTACTCGACGTCGTAAAAGTAAACTTGGGATAGTAAAATCTCCCTCATTTCACAATATCAAATCATGATCATGATTATAATTCTTGTCTCTTGCTTTGATGTGTTTGTTGGTAGCCATGAAATGTCATTATATCTAATCTCCTTCATCAATTTTCTGTTATTTTCATATTTCTGAATTTAGTGTTATTTATTTCATGACTCATGAGGCATTATTTATATGTTGTTTTGAAGTTTTCATATGAACTTGCCAAAATAGACAGTTTATTACATGTTTGAGGAAGATTTCTGAGAACAAAGTTCTAGACCATAGATGTGGGGTGGAAACTATTGAAAACAGGACCTTGCATTTTTTTCATTTTACTAAGGATATGTGGCTAAGTAGAGCACTATGGCACAATAGGATCCATTTAGTTTGTTATTGATGAGTTAATTGTTTCTTATGAATCAATCCATTTGAAGGGCAAAAATGGTAGTCATTTGGAACTCCGGTATGCTAATGTTATCTCTTATTTCATTTTCATAGGTTCAGGATCGGATTCATGAGGCTGGTTATTATGTGGACATTGATATGACAGATCGAAGGATCCAGAAAAAGGTGTGATGACTGACATCCTCAATTATATGAATTTTTTTCTTTTGTTCAGTTTTGTTATATGTTCTCTCTTTCTAAATAGAGTTATGGATTTAGAATTAACCTTCATTGTCATTGATGACTAACCTATCATTCTTGTTTTCTGTCTTTCAATCTCCAATCAGCTTGCTCTGCAGTTTCTAGCTGAATGATTTGTTTTTTTGTTTGATGAACTAACTGAATTGTTTTCACTTGTTTTCCCTTTCAATTCGCAGGTACGAGAGGCTCAGCTGGCTCAATACAACTATATATTGGTTGTTGGGGAAGAGGAATTGGAAACAAAGCAGGTTTGCCTATCCTATGTTTTAGAAGAGATTTTTGTACTTTTTTGCGAATTGGGCTCTTTTGAATAAATTTGTGTGCCTTGGCGAATGGAAATTTGTTTTTAGTTTCTTCATTGATCATTTTCATTCTTAATAATAATAATAACAACAACGAGGCCTATGCTTGCTTAACAAGTAAATTAATGTTTTTCAGGTGAGTGTAAGGGTAAGGGATAAGGCAGATCTCAGTACAATGAGCATAGAAGGTCTACTCCAACACTTCCAGGCTGAAACTGCAGCTTTTCATTAGGTTGTTAGACTTCCGTTGTTTTGATTCTATCATTTTGCACCCTCTCCTGATTTGATTTGGCTGGAATTTAAGTGGATATCTATCTCATTAAGGAAATCAGTTGGGGCGTCGGTTTCCCTAGTGATACCACTTTGTAATTATATATATATTTACATTTTTTTTTTTTTTAATTCTTGAAGGATATCATTAGTGTTATGAAAGTTGATTGGAACTTGAATTTGTTCTAACTTGATTTGATCAAGAAAAATCAACAATTCGAATTTGTTTGATATGAATTTAATTTAACTTAGATATGAAATTTGAATGATTCAAGAGATTAATACAAAATGATTTAAAATTATATTTATTTGATTTTAAATTAAATAATTTGAGTTTGAAATGATTTAGACTTAATGATTTAGTTTTTAAGATTTGAATTTAAAATGATTTTGAATTTTCCAATTTAAAATGATTCAATTCGGAAATGATATGAATCTAAAATGATATGAATTTTTTTTATTTAAAATGATTTAATTAGAAATAATTTTACGTAAACTTGAGTTAGACTTGTTACCACCTTAAACCTTATATTGTTCAACTTTATTCCTATATGGTACATGTTTACCCTTATTTTGATAGTTAAAAATTCATCAAGATAATTTTATACCAACAAGGCATATATGGTAAATTAAAAATCAATTAGGATGCATATTTTGACTATTGGTATAAGATTGTTTTAAATTATATTAACATATTTTTAAGTTTTATTAATGATTTTTTAAAAATGACAATGTATAATAATTTTTTGATAATAGATAAATCTATTTTGATTATTTATATATCTCATCTTTTATTTAGTAAAGGGATTTATTTGTAACGAGATAAAGCATTATAAATAAATAAAATGAGATGTGTTAGGAGATGGCGGAAAGAAATATTGGAATAGACTTTGAAGTATTAAATGTATTAACAAGTGGCATTTGATTATAAAGTAAAGTTGAGTGACAAAAGATTAAGATTGAGAAAGGACTTTGGAAAAACTAAAACTGTAAAGAGAATATGAAAGAAGGTTAAAATAATCTATCCAGTCTCTAAATTAGTTGTGAAAACTCTTATAGCTCCTTGGAATAAGAGTTATATATTTTAAGTATTGAATATGAATAAAGATAAAATTGATAGTTATAATGGTGGTTAATGCTTTATCTAATAAGAGTTTAACTTTTGGTGATACAGATAATAAATAATGTACGTAAGAATTTATTGTCTGTTCTAAAAGATGAGTGAATTACTTATATTTTAGAAAAATGTTAAGAGGAAATCTCTTAAGTACTCCATATCTAATCCATCAAATTAAGCTCTTCGAAATATCTTAATAATGAAGTTAATTTAAGAGCCTTGTCATATTTCAAGATTCTTTTTCACTTCTTTTCGATAAAGTAACATTCATTAAATGTCTTTTGTATAATAATTCTTAGTGAAAGAAATTTTGATAAAAGAGTTTTCTATAAAGGTATTATTCCATGAAATTGTTATTTTGTGAAGGTATTTTGTAAATTTGTTGTTTGGTGAAACAACTTTTATTACTTCTTGTGACTTAACCTCCATTTTTGTGTGATTACAGCAATTTTAGAAAAATTTAAAGTAATAAATTATAAGTAGTCAAATTCAAGTATCTATATACTATAATTAAGGTAAAATCAAAATATAACATTTCTTTATAAAATCAATAATAATCTCAAATGAAAGTAGTATTCATAGAGGCTAAGTGAATTATCAAATATCACTTTTAGGTCATGTTCCATAAACTTATTTTTATAATAAATACTCACATGTTAACTCAAGTTTATCAAAACTTCAATTTATGAGAATGATACCCTAATATAACCATATGTAAGTTTCAAAAACTTTTATTGATGTCCTGTCTTAAGAAAGAATTGACTAAGAATGATTTATCAATAATACTTCGATAGAATGATGATCTCGTAATTAATTACAACTCATTGTGATTGCTTTACAAAGCATATTTATTCAACATATATGCATACCATAGTCAATCCAATTTCAATTTGTCATGGAGCATATACTAACGACATGCAGAACCGATATTCTTTAAAAAAAAAAAAATTCCGGATGTTTGTGACGAATCTAGTCTGAAAAAATTTGATGAAATTGATGGCAAATCTTGCCATTGACTAAACAGCTTTTCACTTTAATTGAAGCCATTGTGTGTAATTTTTGCGGTCTTCCGTATGTCTAACTCTCCCACAACACCACTCTTGAAAAAATATGGTACTCTTAGTTTAGACGTTCGTAACAAAATGAAGTCAAGAAGCAGAAGCAAAGTGGGACAATATCCACACTACTTGATAATGCAGGCTAGGTGGGTTGAGATTTCACAATCTCACCCAAAATGATCTCGTATGCTAAAGACAACCTTAACGTATTTATTACTTGTAGTACCCTCGCACATGAAGCCAAATTGGCATCTATAAGAAAACCAAACAATTCATAAACAAAGACCAAAATTTTTTCTAAACATAACTCAGTTGAATTATATAATCACTCTTAAAAATAGCATCCAGCAAGTCTGGGATTTGAATATCAATATTTACAACTCTTTTCCCTATTCCCAACTCTATACTAAGTCGAAGTTTATTTGTATGTGTGGGGAGAGAGGGGGAAATGGTGTACAGGATGGTAGCTCTACTTCCTTTTGCTGGAATGATTATAGTAATTCTGATCCAAGTTAGAAATATGGTAGTAAGCAAAGCAGCAATGGCTAGAGGAATGAACAAATATGTTCTTATAGTCTACTGCAATGCTCTCTCTAGCCTTTTTCTACTCCCTTGTTCTTTAATGTTCCACAGGTATTCACATCTATTTCTGCTTCTCCTCCTTCTATTATTCTGTGCTTGGATTATGACTATAGCTCATTCTTGAATTTTATTTTTGGCTTCTGATCACTGGCAGAACTGATCGTCCACCAACCACCTTTTTCATTCTCTGCAGATTCTTCTTGCTTGCCCTGATTGGGTTTGCGACTTCTTTCTCTTTTACTTTACTTTATATTCTTAGCCATATGAGATATTGGTGTCAAATTTCATTAAACTACTTTCTCTTAATTTCAAATAAAGGTATTCTAAATTCTCTCTCCATCCTATCTTGTCTTGTAGAACTGCAGCCCAAATGTTTGGATATTCTGGCATACAGTATAGCTCAGCAACACTCGGGACAGCAATGCTTAATCTCATTCCAGCTTTTACTTTTGTTCTCTCCATCATATTCAGGTTGTTTTCTCTTATTTGATTTAATATACAGTGGCCTTTTTAAGTGATCCAATGGTGATATATCTGCATTTACTGCTGTTTCAATGTAGTTCCTTTTCCCCTTTATATCTGCAATTCTTCATGCTTCTCGAGTCTTGACTATATGAAATCTTCAGCCCTGATAACCTGTGTCCAACAAAATAAGAACTATGATGTAACTTGGTTTTCAGTTTTATGGAAACTTCTTAATATTTCATTACTGACATTACCGATAAAGATTTGGTTATGCTTTTTGCTGCATCTTTTGTAACTAATTGTTAATATTTTGTTCTAGACTGGAAAAACTAGACTGGAGAAGCATTAGTGGCCTGGCCAAGTGTTTGGGAACCGTAGTATCAATCACAGGTGCATTTGTTGTGACATTGTATGACGGGCCTCCAATCTTGGTGACACTTACTTCCCCAATTCATCCACTTATGTTCTCGCAACCGTTAGCTTGGATCCTCGGAGGACTTTTTCTTGCAGCTGAAGCTCTAATGATTTCAGCCTGGTATATTGTACAGGTAACGTTCAAAGCCATTTTGTCGAAAACTCAGACCAGAAAACAGCATCATATGAAATGCTTATTTTTTTTTTCCCAAAATCGTTTTGGAGCTTTCGCAGGCGCTGATCCTTAAGAAGTTTCCGGCAATATTTATCATAATGTTTTGCATCACTTTCTTCAGTGCCATTCAGAGTGGAATCTATTCTCTGGTTATGGTTAAAGATCCTAGTGCTTGGAAGCTAAGACTTAACATAGGGCTCTTTGCTGTTTTATACTCAGTAAGCACATGGTGTCTTATCAAACAATTTTTTAATCCTTTAGGTTATCAGGATTTTAACCATGGTCATTGAAACCAAGAGTGTCGCACTCAATCAATAATGTTGATGTGTCTTATCGAACTTTGAAACCTACAAAAGTTGGGCCCTGACACGGTTTACAATTAAATGCAACCAAATCTATTATGTCATGTAGATAAATTATATATAACAATTATAATATATTTGGTGAATTGAGATGATGCGAACAAATAATGACCTACAGGCTATGCTCACATAAACTTTGTATTTTGAAACATGTAGGCAATAGTTGCAAGTGCAATTCGTGTCAGCCTGTGTTCCTGTGTTCATGGTGCCTCTGGAAGACAGGACCTCTCTATGTTTCTATGTTCAAACCATTGGCGATAATCTTTGCTTTTGCAATGGGAATAATCTTTTAGGAGATGTTCTTTGTCTTGGAAGGTTAATTTACTTCCATCACATTATGTCAATTTTCTTTCTCGATGCTTAAAAGTTATTTCATAGCAGTTTTTTTTTTTTTCAAATTTTCATGGCATTTCTTGTATATAGGAAATGAAATCTTGACTGTTTTTGATATTCCTTGCAGTTTGATTGGAACTATCATAATTGTGACTGGATTTTATGCTGTGCTTTGGGGAAAGTCTAAAGAAGATGAAATTGGCGAGGAGGCTGGCTGTCACAGACTAAGCTTTCTCTCAACAAGCACTAGCCCGCATGGCACTTGAATGGACGCTTCCACCCAAGTCAGCCTTCAATAGATCGAGATATGAACAAATAACCATAAACCATGGTTAGTCTCAAGCATTCACAATAAGGCACAATATATCAAGATCAATCTCATCCATACACACAACAAGGTACATTCACATCGAGAAAGAAAAGAAACACATCGAGGCAACAATCGGGCATTCAATCGAGGTGAATTTCATTAAAATCGGGAATCATACATCGGGACCTCCCACCATCACCAGGGCCAGGGGGCAGCCCATGGTGGGTGGCCTAAGCTCGCATAGCACCCGGTGAGACAGCCCAACAATACCCTGCCGGCTCACCCCCCCTAAAGAGCCTTAGAGATTTTAGAGCTATGCTACCAGTAACCGTTACAATGTTTGAAATGGGGA